AATCCTTGCTTAAACGACTCGTCTTGCCGCACTTAAAGCAACCAGAACCACCCACCCTACACACCCCATTGTGCGTCTTGTCGTACTTACCACAATGGCCCCGACTCTGCTGGCCCCTCGACCTCGAGTCAAAAACCTGGGGCCTTTTGCCCGAACCCTCTGAACTCTGAACCTGATCCGACTTACTCTTCCTCTCCATCTCCAAGTCAACATCCTTCTCTATGGCTTGCGCTATCATATCCTGTAATGTCTTGTAACTGAATCGACTCGTAAACTGTCGGATATCGCTCCTCAACATCTTATGGTATTTCGTTTTCTTCATCTCCTCATCTGCCACATATTGAGGAACCGGTAACGCCCTATCATGGAACATAACAGTGATCTCTGCTAATGTCTCAGTAGTCTGGGGAAGGTCCTGAAACTCCCTCACCACTATTGAACCTTAATCGCAGGTGCGAACTCAACCCAAAATCTCATCACAAAATCTTCCCAAGTCATCGACTCGATCGCCTCGGCTCCCAATGCATGCCCAACCTCCTCCCACCGGTCTCAATCTCTGTCCTTCAGAAGACAAGATGCAAGTCGGACCTTCACCTCCTCAGGACAAAGGCTAGATTTCAAGGCGTTCCCAACGTCTTCTCATAATCAGGTCCTTCTTACCAAAGAACTCCTAGGCTCTGCATGCCCATAACTTACGAAAAGTTAAAGTGCAAGCTCCCATAATCGCCACCATCTCATAACAAAAAGCGCCCATGCGATCATCCAGAATCTCCGTGATACCCTCCTTGATCGTACCAAAGATCACATGAGTCCGCTCTAGAATGTTGCGGGTAATCTCTGATGAAATGAACTCCCGCATCTGATCATCCAAATATCCGGCGCCAGAGCCCGAACCTAAACCCTCACCAGTACCATAACCACTACTAGATCCTCCTCGAGTGACCATCATACTGAAAATAGACCATGCAAACCATCATCACACACACACACACACACACACATATATATATATATATATATATATATATATATATATATATCCCATACTCTACAAGCTTCCTGGCATCATCGCAACTTTCTTGGACTCGAGTACGGATCCTCTGCTTCCAGTAGTATGAGCCCATACTACCTTCCACATATATCCGTACTTTACTCAAGGATCGCCTCGAGTCCTCCAATTCACTTCCTTACCAAACCAACAATTCTCAATATGACAAGGCTTTAAACACCGAATCACCTCCTAGGTCTTCCTAGGGCAACCCCCATACTACTCTCCTCCGTCAGTTGCAGAAGGAACTCCCCCTAACACCCTCTAGCTAGCTCACGAATACAATTACATATCACTGACACCAAATATTTCTTGGAATGAAAGATCTCACACTAGGATGCTTGGACTCAAACAAGAGCTGCACAATAGAGTTAAAACCTAACCTTCTAAAATTATCTAGTCTCAGTAATATGTAACTTAGCATATTCGCTTACTAATAAGCTGAAGTTAGTGGGAACTCCTCAAATCACAAAGCAAGCAACATTCGAGCATCGAGTAATCGTAATCAAACATAACCTAATCAGGTCATCCTATCATTAACTAATCAATACTAGCATGAAAATCTACAAGCTCACACAGTAAGCATACAAAGGCATCTCTCCTGACTTTCTATCATGCAATCCTGAGCAGATCCTTAGCCCTAATCTAGCATGCGATTCACAATTTAATATATAACATAAAACATGTATGGGTATTTTAGGAAAACTCTTGAGCCCGGTCGATTGCATGCACCACACCCCTTTCTTTTGTTAGATATTTTTTTTTGTAAAACATTCCTTTTATGAAAAATATACCAAATCCTCGGTTTGGGTTCAGACACACCCGAGAGTGTGCCTGAATCCCTCAAACCAAGGCTCTGATACCAACTTGTAACGACCCAAAATTTAAGATCGAAAATTTCATTTTGATAATAATAAAACCATCATCCAAAACGTTTTCATAAGACCATAAAAGAAAACAAAGTATATCAATCAATCATTTCAATACATCAAAGTCAAATAAAGGGAAGTCGTGGTGTGTGTGATGTGATCATCCTGAGATCATCCCCTTCGATCTGGAAGTACCTGAAACATAAACTGAAAATCATAAGCACGAAGTTAGTGAGTTTCCCAAAATACCTCATACCATACATATCAAACATACAATGGGCCCCGCCCGACATATATCAAATATACAATGGGCCCCGCCCGACATTCATACAGATACATAAAATACATGCAAAAATCATTAAGACAAATAACATATTATACACTCATTAGGCCCCGCCTGGCATCGGACACCGCCCGATATACATATCACATACTGCTCATGCAAGAGTCACACATACAACTAGCATCGTAATCATAACAAATCATGGGCCGACATTGGTGCCTTTGACCCGCCAAGAACAATGAGGAGACTCACCTCAAACTGATAAAAATCAGATAATTGCTCGAACTGCTAATCCGAAAAATCCCCACGCTAAATAATCAAACAATACCCTAATTAATAATTAGGTCAAAAGACTATTCTACATTTTCCCTTAGCCTCTAGGGTAAAAGACTATTCTACATTTTCCCTTATTGAGCCCAACTAGCTTGGCCCTATAACCCTATAGTGGTCCAAGGCCCAATAATGACCCAACCCATAAACCTAAGGTTAAACTATGACCTAACAGATGCAAAGCCTAAAATCCAGCTAAGGCCCAAAGTCCAAAGGGAGTCCAAGTCCAAAAGAAGGCCCCAAACAAAAGGAGCCTAATCACAGCGTACGCCTTGCGTACTCTTCGTACGCACCATGTATGCATGTTGACACAAACATATGACCTGCTGACCCAGTACGCACAACGTACTACGGAGCATGCCTAACGTATTGCACAGATTCCCAAAATCCAACTTAGGGTCCTATTCCCTTAAGACATTTTCGTCCAAACTTCAGATTTAAGCCCCGTGGGACGACTTAATCCATAAAATCACGAACTTGGAGCCTTTACATGGCTCAAAAGAACCATAATCTTACATTTAGAATTCTACTTTCACCAAATGGACCTAAACACATACATGGTTGATCTACAACCATCAAGATGCTAACTTTATGGACTAAAGACCTCAGAAACATCAAGAGAAGCAACTCCTAACTTCTAGAGTGGAAGAAACCCACTAGATCTCATCATAGGACTAAAACTTCATAAAGACCAGATCTAAGCATACAAGGAACAAGTTTTAAGCTTTATACCTCAATGAAGCTGGAAATGATGTGTGAAGTCTGGATCTACAAGTTCTCCTTCGATCAAGGCTCCTTATTCCTCAAATCTCACCAACACACACACACACACACTAAAAACACACACAAGAGGGTCAAATCTCCTCAAGAAGGGCTAGGGTTTCAAAATAGGACTCAAAAGGTAATGGAGGTTGAGAAATGAAAGGATCATGGGTCATAATGTTGTTTAATAGGGTGCGTATGTCCTACATACGAGAAGCATGCCCCGCATACGCTGAGATTTCCAAAAATGGAAACTTTGCCCCCCAGGGACCAAATCTGCAAAATATTTACATACCAAGGGTAAAAAATGAAAAGTACCTTGAATCGGGTGTTACAGAAGGAGCTAACTTTGCGGGTCAGAAAACTGTGGAAGAAGGTGCATTAAATTCACAGCGTTTTCAACTCTCTTTATGACTAAGCTGCTAATGAAACTAGCATCTCTACTAACAGATCCATGATAAGTTTCACCCCCAATGGCGGCCTCCCGATGCCAACCGGGAATAACCCCTCACACAACTTCCTACCATCACACGAGGACCAAAAGAGCTCAGTTTTCTTGATATTCAACCGAAGGCCCAAATTTAGGCCAATAACATTAATGATGTGTAACGCTTTGGCCACTTCCTCCGAATCTCCAATAAGTATGTCATCATTAAGGTATCATGCATGTAGAAGTAGCTTGCAATTGTCTCTAATATTATGCATGTAGAAGAAGCTAATGTTTAAATCAAGATTTCATGAATCGTTTAACATTCCTAAACGTTTCTCTATAATTCGCTAATTAACAGTTTTAACATTTAAATTTTTATAAAACTAGGAACACCTCAACTTATAAATGATATGAGATGATCTAATGATTCAACATTAATATTTGAATAACATAACTAAAATTGAGATCTCTTATGCATATGCTATGACAAACCAAGTTAACTCTAATGACTATATGTGTAAGATTTTTAAGCAACACATATAAATCTATGATACAAACCATTTAAAAACAATGCACATAAGTTTTTGAACCTTATACCACAATGTCTCAATGTAACTATATACTACTCATAAGTCACAATGAAACCTTACCCATAGTAGTGGTATGTACACACTCTTGATGGAAAAACACAAAGTTATAATCAAAATGTCCTACACATTAATGCATTTTAGTTTATAGCCCTATATCACAATAGTTCAATGTAAATGAATATAACTTAAATCCTATTATAGTTCCCAAAGTAATGAAGATGGTGCTCATACTTGAACTTCAGACATTAATTACGAATTCTTATCATCAAACAATTTGGAATAATTTATGAAAACTATAAAACTCAGAAGTATAAAGTAACTGATATAAATACGACATATAAAGACATGATTAATTAGCATATAGATCGAGTTTTACCGTCATGCCAACACATGATTTATGTTATTATTAAATTAAATGATAATGGCTATGATCGGCCGCATACACATTGATTGTTATGCATATGTGTTATGCTCATCACAATCTAGTTGTACATTATTGCACCCGAGACGCAATCCAACTTGAAATTAGAAACACGACATCGGTTTGATACTCACAAAACGTCATTATACCAAATACTTCTCCCCTTTTCGCGGACATTGTGCTTGAAAAAAAAACTCGAAAACCGCAATAATATATGCTATACAAAACGACGTAGTTTTAAGGTTAGCCATAGTATAGCTTTGCCAAATTGCACCAAAGAAAACCCCAACCCTGTGTGCTTTGTTCCCCTCCCTTCTCCCACCCCACCTCCAGGCTCCAGCCCCACACCACTCTCTCAATCTCCATATATTTCATCAAGAAAAATCGAACGCAGAAAAATCTATAAATAGAACACAAAAAAATTCGTTAATCTACGCAGAACAATGAAGCATCACCATCATCAAACATCATCTGAGGCCGTCTCTTCTTCATCATCAGCAGAAGCTGCAGTTTCATCATCATCGTCCTTGACGTCGTCATCACAGCAGCCGCCGCCGCCTTCTCCGACCGTACAACTAATGAATGCAACGTCTCCGGCGACTGAGGACCATCCTGCATCATCGTCTTCTCGTGATTGTTCCTCTTCCTCATCGTCGTCGTCGTCATCGTCGTTGGAGTCCGTGACAATCGAGAGGCGTGGCGAATTCGCCGCCGTGTGTAAATGGACAATCTTCAATTTTCCTAGGGTTAAAACTAGGGCTTTGTGGAGTAAGTATTTCGAAGTCGGCGGATACGATTGCCGTTTGTTAGTGTACCCTAAGGGCGACTCGCAGGCATTGCCTGGTTATATTTCGATTTATTTACAAATCATGGACCCTAGAGGCACTTCCTCTTCTAAGTGGGACTGTTTCGCTAGTTATCGATTAACTGTAGTAAACCCTACCGATGATTCAAAATCTATTCATCGTGATTCTTGGCACAGGTTTTCCACAAAGAAGAAGTCTCATGGATGGTGTGATTTTACACCATCCGCTTCTATACTTGACACGAAATCAGGATTTCTTTTTAATGATGATCATTGTGTTCTTATTACTGCCGATATTCTCATATTGAATGAATCCATTAATTTTGTGCGTGATAATAATGAGCTTCAGTCCAACTCTGTCTCCAATTCCGTTGTGATGACTGGACCTGTTGGTGATGTTTTGAGTGGGAAGTTCACTTGGAAGGTCCACAATTTTACCTTGTTTAAAGAAATGATTAAGACACAGAAGATAATGAGCCCTGTTTTCCCAGCTGGAGAGTGTAATTTGCGTATCAGTATCTACCAGAGTTCTGTTAATGGAGTGGATTACTTGTCCATGTGTTTAGAAAGTAAAGATACTGAGAAGGCATCAATTTCAGATAGGAGTTGTTGGTGTTTGTTTCGAATGTCTGTTTTGAATCAAAAACCTGGAATGAATCACATGCATAGGGATTCATACGGGAGGTTTGCTGCTGATAATAAGAGTGGAGATAACACAAGTTTAGGTTGGAATGATTACATGAAAATGACAGATTTCTCCGGTGGAGAATCAGGGTTTTTAGTGGATGACACAGCTGTGTTCAGCACATCCTTTCATGTCATCAAGGAGCATAGTAGCTTCTCAAAGAACGGGGGATTGATTTCAGGCAGAATCATGAGTGGTGCTAGAAAATCAGATGGCCATATGGGTAAATTCACATGGAGGATTGAAAATTTCACAAGGTTGAAAGATCTTCTCAAAAAGAGAAAGATCACAGGCCTTTGTATCAAGAGCAGGAGGTTTCAAATCGGAAACCGTGATTGCAGACTTATAGTTTACCCCAGAGGTATGCTAGTATTTTATTGAATTTCACAAGTGTTTTGTAGAAATATGTCTGATTTTGAGTTTTAAACAATTGACACTTGTGCTTCATTGTCTCAGGGCAGTCTCAGCCACCATGTCATCTTTCAGTTTTTCTTGAGGTTACAGATTCAAGAAACACCACAAGTGACTGGAGTTGTTTTGTGAGCCATCGTTTGTCAGTTGTCAATCAAAAAATGGAGGACAAATCTGTCACAAAAGAATCCCAGAATCGTTACTCAAAATCCGCAAAAGACTGGGGTTGGCGTGAATTTGTAACCTTAACCAGTCTTTTTGATCAAGATTCCGGGTTTCTTGTTCATGATGTTGTAGTCTTTTCAGCAGAAGTTTTAATTTTAAAGGAGACATCCATAATGCAGGACTTTACTACTGATCAAGAAACTGAATCTTCTAATAATTCTGGGGGAGGAAAAATGAGTTCTTTTACATGGAAGGTGGAGAATTTTTTGTCTTTTAAAGATATAATGGAAACCCGTAAGATATTTAGTAGATTCTTTCAAGCTGGTGGATGTGAGCTTCGTCTAGGTAGGTATTTTTTTACTTTTTAGTTTTCTTGTGATGTAATATAACCAAATATGTTAAGAGGAGTAGTAACAGTTTTGTTTTTTTCGTAATGCAGGGGTATATGAGTCTTTTGACACAATATGCATATACCTTGAGAGTGATCAGTCTGTTGGGACTGACCCTGATAAGAACTTTTGGGTGAAATACAGAATGGCTGTTTTGAATCAAAAGAATCCTTCCAAAACTGTGTGGAAAGAGTCATCTATTTGTACAAAGACATGGAATAATTCTGTGCTTCAGTTTATGAAGGTTTCTGATATGCTTGAAGCAGATGCAGGGTTTCTTGTAAGAGACACAGTTGTTTTTGTATGTGAAATCTTGGATTGTTGCCCATGGTTTGAGTTTGCTGATCTTGAGGTTAGTAAAGTAGTCTCTCTTAATTCTTTATCTTTTTTGCATTCTCCTTTTTCTTTTTTTTAGTAAAAAGGTTAATATCTTTTTGTGTAAATCTTTTTTTCTAGGTTTATGCTTCTGAAGATGATCAGGATGCTCTGACAACTGATCCTGATGAACTGATTGATTCAGAGGACAGTGAAGAAGGAATCAGTGGAGATGAAGAAGACATATTCAGAAACCTTCTTTCAAGAGCAGGGTTTCACCTCACATATGGTGATAACCCTTCACAGCCTCAAGTGACTTTAAGAGAAAAGCTTCTGATGGATGCCGGAGCAATCGCCGGATTCTTGACCGGACTTCGCGTTTACCTTGACGACCCCGCCAAAGTCAAGCGGCTCCTCCTGCCAACTAAGCTTTCCGGTTGCACCAATGATGGCAAGAAAATTCACAAAACCGATGAATCTTCACCTAGTTTGATCAATCTCTTAATGGGTGTCAAAGTTTTGCAACAGGCTATAATCGATTTACTCCTTGATATTATGGTCGAGTGTTGTCAACCATCAGAAGATGATTCTTCAGACGGAAGCTCTAGACCTTCCGGCGGTAGCTCTCCGCCGGAGCTTGACCGGAGAACCACCACCTCCACCACCACCACCACCGGATATGCTCACGAAAGATTGGATTCCGGAGGTAATGAAATCTCTTCTGCTTCTGCTGTACAAAGCTCAGACATGACTGAAAAACCATTCGCCGGACCGCCTTTCTCTCCGCCGGAAACCTATGCCGCCAGTTCATCGGAGAGTTCATCTCTTCGGTCTAAGGTACTTCAACTTCCTCTTTTGTTTGTATTTGGTTAGAAGTTAGAAGATAAAAGTTAAAAGGGTAATGTTGTCTTTTTAGGCGAAATGGCCGGAGCAATCTGAGGAACTTTTAGGGTTGATTGTGAACTCATTAAGAGCATTAGATGGAGCTGTCCCACAAGGTTGTCCTGAACCAAGGCGAAGACCACAGTCTGCACAAAAGATTGCTCTTGTATTGGACAAGGCTCCTAAACATTTGCAACATGACCTAATTGCCCTTGTACCTAAATTGGTTGAACATTCAGAACATCCACTTGCTGCTACTGCACTCTTGGATAGACTCAAAAAGCCAGATGCAGAACCTGATTTACTACTTCCAGTAAGTTTCTATAACATGGTAGATTTTTCAATGAAAGTAGATTTGTATTTCTTTCTTGCATTTAATACACAAAAAAAAATAAATAAATAAAAAAAATTCAGGCTCTTGGTGCCCTTAGCCAGTTGAAATGCAACAGTGAAGTTTGGGAACGTGTTCTTTTTCAATCATTTGAACTCTTGGAAGACTCAAACGATTCACCACTTGCAGCCACCATTGACTTCATCTTCAAAGCCGCTTTACACTCTCAACATCTTCCAGAAGCAGTAAGTCCCTTCATCTCATTACATCTTCCTACTTTCTAATTATAGCAACATTTTTTTTCTTTTACAAAATTCTCTCTACAGGTGAGATCAGTTCGTGGAAGGCTAAAGGATTTAGGTGGTGAAGTCTCGCCATGTGTTCTTGATTATTTAAGTCGAACAGTCGCCAGCTGTAACGACATCGGTGAAGCTATATTGAAAGACATCGATAACGAGGATAACGATGGGTACACGTCAGCGCCACGTGGCGTGTTGTTATTCGAGGGGACAACAATGACAAGTCACGAAACTCATTTTTCAGATATATACATGTTGCTAGAAATGTTATCCATCCCGTGTATTTCAATCGAATCATCACAGACATTCGAGAAGGCAGTTTCACGAGGGGCAATTTCGGCACAATCGGTGGCAATTGTTTTGGAAAGACGAATTGCTCGAAGGATAAATATAACTTCTTGTCAGTTTGAGGAGGAGGAGGAGGAGGTGGTTTTTGAGGATGGTGACACAATGGAACAACTTAGAGTGGAAAGGGATGATTTTACTTCTGTTCTTGGTTTAGCTGAGAGTTTAGGGGTTTCTAGGGATCCGTGTGTGAGAGGGTTTGTGAAGATGCTTTATACTATTTTGTTTAAATGGTATGCGGATGGGCCCTACAGGTTGAGGATTTTAAAAAGACTTGTTGATCGGGCTACTAGTGCTACGGATGCTAGTCGGGAGTTAGATTTAGATTTGGAGATTTTGGTGTTTCTTGTTTCTGAGGAACAGGAGTTTGTTAGGCCTGTTTTGAGTATGATGCAGGAGGTTGCTGACCTGGCGAATGTTGATAGGGCAGCTCTTTGGCATCAGCTCTGTTCCAATGAAGATGAGCTTATTCGGATTCGTGAAGAGAGCAAAACGCAAGTTTCTAATATCACGAAAGAAAAAGCTGTTTTGTTGCAGAGGTTGAGTGATACTGAAGCCACTAATAGTCGCCTTAAGGTAATGAAAATAAATAATAGTATAATAATGTTAATAAGAAAAAAGATTGAAATTTGAATTTATGTATATGATGACAGAGTGAGATGAAGAGTGAAATGGATCGATTTAATTTGGAAAGAAAAGAAATGTGTGAACAAATGCAAGAAATAGAAAGTCAACTGGAATGGCTTCGGTCAGAACGAGATGATGAAATCGCCAAACTTACTGCTGAAAAGAAATTATTTCAAGAAAGGCTTCATGATGCAGAGACACAGCTTTCTCAATTGAAATCCCGCAAACGTGATGAGTTGAAGGTAGCTACTTTTCTTTTTTTATCGATTAAAAAAAAAAAAGAAAATGTTATACATTGATTGTTACATAAAAAAAAAATGATATGTGGTTCAGAGAATAACAAAGGAGAAAAATGCTCTTGCTGAAAGACTAAGAAACGCGGAAGCAGCCAGAAAACGATTTGATGATGAACTGAAACGTTACGCAACGGAAAATGTAAGCCGGGAAGAAATCCGACAGTCACTAGAGGACGAAATCCGCCGGTTGACACAAACAGTTGGACAGACAGAAGGCGAAAAACGTGAAAAGGAAGAACAAATCGCGCGATGTGAAGCCTATATCGATGGAATGGAATCCAAATTGCAAACTTGCGAGGTTTCATTTTCATCCCTGAAATATACTTTTCAACATTTTTACCCCCTCAAGTTACTAAAAGTCTAAAACCAAACCTTTTTATTACAGCAATATATTCATAGTTTAGAGGGATCACTCCAAGAAGAAATGTCGAGACACGCGCCGTTATACGGTGCGGGGCTCGAGGCACTATCGATGAAAGAGCTGGAGACGATTTCCCGCATTCATGAAGAGGGACTGAGACAAATCCATGCGCTCCAACAGCGAAAAGGTGCGGGCCCAACGGTGAGCCCGCATTCACACGGGATGTACCCGGGTGCACCCCCGCCGCCCATGGCGGTTGGATTGCCGCCGGCCCTGGTTCAAAATGGTATGGGGATGGGGGTCGGGGTTGGGGTGGTTCATGGAAATGGGCATGTAAATGGTGCCATTGGTGGACCATGGTTCAACCATTCTTGAATCTTGAAGTTTTTGAGTCATGTTGTTATGGCGTTTCTGAGTTGTTTTTTTTTTCTTTTTCATTTTATATTAATTGAAATGGAAAGAAATGTGTTCAATGGAACCTAACAAATGAAGATGAAAATGTCACGTCACACATTTTGACTTTTTTTTTTTTTTTTTTACTTTCGATTTTATATTAATTAAAGGGCATCTAGAGAAGTTTTGTTTTTTGTTTGTGTTTTTGGTTCGAAGGCTCTTATTTTATCGGCTATAAATGCACGCATACATGAACACAACTCTTTTGCAGGGTGTGTTTGTTAACATGAAGGTTTTGTAGTGTGTTTGGAGTTGATGTCAATTGAAACGGTGAATGTCTTGTCATTTGGATGTTTTGTTGTCTTGCAGATTCTTGGGGTTTGGGTTTCCGAGGAAAAAAATAGACCCTAAATCCTCTTTACATATACAAACAAGAATCAAAAACCCCACAAATATCATGATTCTCATTGTCATTCATCTATCTTTGAATCCAAATTTTAAAAATACAATCATATTTGACGTTTTTGCCATTGTTGCTTCGATGCTACTAAACTCGAGTACATAGAATTCAGGAAGAGTAGTTTACTTCTTATAAATTAGAAAGAAACTTGGCATAAATACAAAAATAAATGAACTAGAAACGAAAAACAGAAATTGATTTGGCTGTGCCTTTCATAAAATAGAAACTGATTTCCTTGTAATCTTGTTTCTTATGAATTTTAAAACTAACTTATATCCATTCAAAAAGCAAAAAAACAGAAATTAAAAACAAAAAATGAACAAGAAAAAAAAACAAAAAAAAAAAACAGAAACTCCTTGTAAGATTGCAAGACTGTAAGATTGAAAGAACTATTGAAAGATTTTAAGAACTGAAAGCTGATTTTCCAGAAGATTGTAGTATTGTTGCTTCTGATTTTCAAGAAGAAAGAAGGAAGAAGTATGAACTAGGTATCATTAAGCAAATACGAATCATAAATTATGATTTAGTATCCTTCTGATTTTCGAGATTGAAGGAACCAAAACATCGTTTTCCTTTTCCCCAAAACTTTTTGATTCACACTCATCTTTCTAACACCTACGTCGTTTCCTTTATTGTGGTCTCGTCTGATACATTCATTACATTGACTATCGACAATCCGTTAACCTAGCCCAAACAATGAACATAATCTAATACCTACCTGGAAAAAAATTGGGCCCTAAATTTTAAGTGGACCCTTTTCAAGGGCACACCTTGAACACCCATTGGACCGACTCTAGGTTTGGGGGTGTTCATAAGAAAAAAATGTGATGTTCAATAGAAAACCATAATTAACAAGGAACCAATGAATCAATTGTAAGCGTCGAAAATCATAATGATCAACGGCCAAGAAAATAAATGTACATTTGACGCGCACACACACACACACCGTATTATACCGAAAAATCCACATCCTTACCGAAAAACCCACCTCTTTTTTTCGTTGAATTTTTTTAGACCATATCTTTTATCGAAAAAAAACCCCCGAATATGCTGTTGTTTACGATTTTTCGTCATCTTTCCATAGAGATCCATGTTGATATATAAAAAATGATTTTTTTTTTTTTCGAAAAAAAACTCACTTCATTTTGTTTTTTTTTCATTATTTAAGTTTATTTTTATCCAAAAAAACTAATTATACCAAAAATATTAATTTTTGTACTCTATTAATAAACATCAACACCGATTAAAAAAAAACTTGATCAGTTCAGATTCGTACCGTAAATCTAAACTGTAAATATTTTAATTTTTAATATTCATAATGTGAATTTGACTTACCATTTCAACTCTTTTATCATCTGCAAATTAACTTAGTGGAATTTACATATGAATCAAAATATATTTCATATAGTTTTATAATATTTTAATGTTTTCATTACTCATAAATTAGTTTTGTAAAATCAACAAATGGATTTATTCACATTGTGAATCTGACTTACTATTATTCACACTGTGAATCTGAGTAGGTTCACAATGTGAATCTAAGCAGATTCACAATGTGAATCTGAACAAGTTCACAATATGAATTTGAACTGAAATTTTGATTTTTTTTTACATCAATATGAATTTATGTTTGAAGAGTATTAAAAAAATATAAATTTTGATATATTTATTAATTTTTTCTACAAAAAAATAAACCTTAACTTTTTAACAAACAAAGAAAATAAAGTGGATTTTTTGAAAAAAAAAAGTTCATTTTTTATATATCAATATGGATCTCTATGAAAAAAGGATGAAAAACCACGAAAAATGGTATATTCGTTTTTTTTCCCAATAGAATACATTAAACTAAAAAAAAGTGGTTTGTAATAATCTGGTGCATGAACGTTCATCTTAAAAGTCTAAAACTCTTCCTTTTGCCGTTGATCGCTTTCAATTTCGACGTTTTGGATTGGTTCATTAATTAATAATGGTTCTCCACTGAACTGTTCTATATATATATATATATATATATATATATATATATATATATATATATATATATATATATATATATATATATATATATATATATATATATATATATATGCGTGTGTGTGTTAAATGTGAGTTCCCCTTATTTACAATTATATTTTGTTCCTTTAGATATATGCCACAGTATTTTGGCATATTGCCAATTTTGGTCCCTTGAATGCCTCTCCTTCTATCACGTCTTGTTTTCCACCACCTCGCTTACCCCTCATGTTATTCCATTTGATGTGTCCATACGAGAACAAATGAGTTTCATGCTAATCCTCGATTTTACGTCTCCGGTGAAGTCCTCGATTTCTAGGGCAAAAACAAATAATGTTTAGGACATCTTTGGCTTCTCCCCCAATTTCAGTTTGCATCTTCTCCAACTGAACTGAAATTAACTTGGGGTTAGTGTTTTAAGATAATCTGTATGTCAAATTGTAACACCCTGTTCATGTACTTTTAAATTCATCCTTATAATTTTAATTCATGACCTTTTGGTCCACATAGTTGAAGGAAGTAGCCATGAGAAGCCCTAATGACATAACCAGAATTTCATATATGCCCTTCTTAAACATCAAAATATCATATTTACCCAACTTAATTTTTAAATATCATATTTACCCTTCATAAAATTTCAAAATATCATATATGTCCTTTTTAAACATCAAAATATCATGTATGCCCTTCTTAAATATCAAAAATATCGTATATGCACTTTTTAAACATCAAATATCAATGGTAATATCTAAAATATCCTTCATCTACAACAAAAAAAACTAAACAATCAAAATATAGATTCCATAGAGAGGATTGAAGATGAATATTTTTGTTTGTCAAGATGACGACATTCAACAATTTAGAAGTTCACATTCCATTATCATAGACGTAAAGATAATATCGTTAAATTTTTTAATTATTATAGTAATTTTAAGTTTTAAAAAATGATTATAAAATATTAAAAACATTATAAAAAAGGATTTGGGCAAATATGATATTTTAAAGGTTTATGAAGGGTAAATATGATATTAAGAAATTAAGCTGGGCAAATATGATATTTTGAGGTTTAAGAGGGGGCATATATGAAATTCTCCCTAACCATAATTTGGGATGAAATGGGAGTACATCATACGTACGTGTGTATGTTGGGCGTATGTCAACGTACGCGGGTGTAACGTCCCAAATTTCAAGTCCAAAAATTTCAATTTTTAATATAACGGTTTGGAAAACATTTAACAGGAAACATCATTAATTCATATCTTTTGTAACCATAATCTCGTGTCAGAAAATCATATCATAAAAGTAGTAACATTGTCATAGTACAATCCTAAGAAATCTCGTAATGCGGAAATCCAATGTGTGTGTAGTTGATGTGCAGTTACCGCGCCGGTTCTTTCCCTTTGCTGAAGAGGTACCTAAAACAAAACTAAAAATTGTAATCACAAAACTTAGTGAGTTCCCCCATCGTACCACATACCATTTTATCACATAGCATACATACTTCCGGGAAATTTTGGGGTGCTCGACCTACCCGGTACGACCATTTTGGGTTGCCGACCTACCCGTGTCAAGCTATTCTGGGGTGCTGACCTACCCGTGTCAAGCCGTTCTGGGGTGCTGACCTACCCTTCGGTCCTAACAACCGAACCTCGGGGACTATTCCACCCCTACTACTACTATCACATATATCATAACATAACGTACTGTCAGACATATTTGGGGTGTCCGACCTACCCTTCGGTCCTAACAACCGACTTGGGGACTATTCCCCTCCTACTACCATTATCACATATAACATATCGTGCCAGCATATAATATATCAGGTAGTAGCAAACCTAGATGAATATCACAAAGACAATCATCTAACATACAACTTTTACTGGTGAGCCGATATTATGGCCGTAGACCCACCGCTACCGGAAGGTAACTCACCTCATATGAATGAATGTTGTTAATCCAAGTGAGAAGTCTCCGTCTGCTGCTCCGACGATTCTCCAGCTATAATTCCCATAAAGACACTTAGTCAGAAGCTGATAATTACTCTTAGGGTAAAATGACTATTTTACCCCTAGCCAAAGTCATATCCTGGACAAAGTCAACTTCCAATTGACCTGACTCGCCGAATTGGGCCGCCAACTCGTCGAGTCCCTATTCTTTCATCTGACCTCCTCCCGACTCCACCCATCGAGTTTACCAAAGACTCGACGGGTTCTCCTTCTATAATATCATCGAATGAACCTTCATCCGACTTGCTGAGTTGTATGAACAACTCGTCGAGTCCATCTTCAAAGGGTTGGGAGATTGCCTTGGACTCATCGAGTCTGTTCATACACTCACCGAGTCTTATGATTCCTAGGTCTAATGCTAAGTCTAATATGTTGAGTCACTCCCCTGGACTCTTCCAAGACCCTTCTAACACTGAACTGGGTTCCTTTTAACCTCAATAGACAGGGGACTCAAGCCCTGGAGTCGCCGAGTTCCAAGAACAACTCGACGAGTCGACACTATCTAAGTCTTATATCTCGGTTTTTAATGTACAACACTCATCTAAAAGACAGATATGGGCTTCTAAGATCGCTCTAGCATGTAAAGTTATGAACTTTACATGCATGCATGGAAGTATAAGCTTAATGGGCCCAAAAATGAGATCTAAAGGTGCATGTGGCTCTCAAATGCTACA